AGTTGAAATTTGGTTTTAATAAGTGAAAATATGAAATTTTAGGTCCTAGAACTTGTATTAAATAGGTTTGGTGTAGAAATATGTGTTGGAGAGGTTTGAGATAGATTTGGTTGGCTTAGGAATGGATTGGAAATGGAAAAGGGATGAAGACTGGCTATAAACAGTGCACGTGAACAGTGCACTGTTGCAACTTCAAACTCGATTTAGACCTTCATGCAGTCAATATCTCTCAAAACTCAAAACATGAAAGTTTTTGAGTTCTTTCGTATCATTCCATAGCATCTTGAATCATTTCAATTGGAGCTTGGATGAGAGAGTTATGCTCAGATAACGAAATGATGTTGAAATAGTCCAATTAACTTCGTTTTGCATTTAATGTCTCCATTTGCATCCTAAATCAAAATATAAGAATAATGAGTACTTTTAGGCTTCAAATAAGTATAAAAGGCTTTAAGAAACACCCTTTATCACATTTTATTTGCAAACATCGCAAAACTTCATTAATAGCCGATTCAGATGGGTAAAATATAAACTTTAGTGTTTCGGGTGTACGTTGACTTGGGTGTTGAGATAAATCATAAAAATAAATGTTTTTAGGTTAAAATAACATTAAAAATGAATCCGGAACGTTGAAAAACCTTAGGGTAGTCATATGAATCAAATTAGAGATTTTTAGTGGCAAAACCGTAAATTTGGAGAAACCCAAAACAGCCTATGAACAGAATTTTTCGGGGCTGCTATGTTTTAAACTCATTTTCATCTCATTTTCTCTCATTCCCTTCACTCCCCTCACATCCCCACACCTCTTGAAACCCTAGAGGGCATTAGAGAAGAAGAAATGAAGGGAAAAATAAGAGATTCAAGGGTGATTCAAGATCAAATATTTTTGTTCTTCACTCCAAAGCTAAGGATTCAAAGTAGGGATTTTCTCTCATTCACTTACATTGAGGCTAGGGTATTTATATATGTATGTTTTGGCTATCAATGATATATATATGTTATGGAATCATTCTCTCTTAGGCTTTTTATAAGGATTACATGTTTTGAACAAAGTAGGGTTTAATACCCATGAAATCTCCTTTCTAGTTTTAAAACCCTAATTTTTGGATAGTGATATATTTCCTTCCTAAATGCTATTTACTATGGATTTCGAAACCTTAGTACTTTGTGTTGGGTAGAAAAATGATGTTATTGTGATCTCATGTATTTTCTTAGTTAGTTGTGGAATTGTTATATGATATATTTTGAGAATTTTGGATAGATGCTTGTAAATTGAGATAAAATGTTGGAATTGTATGCTTGGTTGGGTTGTTTATGATGCACATGAGTGAGAGATTCCTTGTAAGGATGCTCACTCCTTCCCAAGAGGTTCCCGGTAAGGATG